TCACAGTTTTCCATCCCTTGAGATGACTTGCCAGCTCAGCGTGTAGCTCAGGGTGTAGGACCACAGGGAACAGATTTTGGTGGCGCCTGGTGGTGATTCTGGCTCTTAAGTGGGTTCATTATCACCAGAAATCCAAGGCCATCATCACCTTCATAGTTTGAAGCCAGTCTGAGCTACATGTGACATAAAATCAATCCATTCCTAGGAAGGACTGCATTACTTAATTTATGTATTTTCTTTTTTGTAATATTTAGTGAGGAACGGGGGCGGGGGCTCTTGAGTGCCTGTCAGCCCAGCCCCCTGACGGTTGTAACACTGAGAAACAAACAAGTGCTCCAAGAAGGCCTGACGAAAGCTGCTGAAGACAAGGTCCTATATCTAGATGACACGTAGCTGTGGAATGAGACAGGCCTGCACGAAAACCCTTATTCTGCCTATGATTTGTTCACAGCCCAAGGCCTGCACCATCAGAGAAGAACAATGGGGCCACTGCAAGTTCCACAGGACAAAGTGTAGAAAGAACTTAGCATTTGTGTACAGTACTTGATGATATCTCTAGAAACACAGTTTGATTTTATGATGCTTATTGACCAAGCTAGGTAAGTTTTGAGCGAAAACTAATGTCCCCTAAAGGACTTTCAGGGACAATAATCACAGTTGTATGGACATAAACCAAGCTCTTATGTAAGCAGACTAATCACTTATGATGTGCCAACACTGGATTATTGTTGAAATTATGTTGTAGATGGTATACATTGCTTAAGAATATTCAGGAGTCACGACACGGTTCAAATAGAGATTCTTTTATCTTTTAAGAGTAGTGAGCAATTAAATCATGTTCTAATTTTCATACCGAAAATTAATTTTGAATTAGAAAGAAGTGAAGAGTACATCCAATGACTCTTTAGTGACAGTCTTGCCTGGATGCATTGCTAGCCTCACAATGCCTATACCCTCTATACTCTGGAGGCTTTTTGTTTTTCTTAACATAAGAATACGTTGTCCAGTGATTGTTATCAGTACAGTAATGTGATTCCCTTCACTGGAAGGAAAAGAGCCTTTCGTTTTTTCATATACTCAGTCCATACTTGTCATGAAAAATTGGTTATTTGCCCTCAACCAGACAGGCAAGTGTGGAGATGCGAGAGAAGCCAGGCAGAGGAACACGGACTATCACTGAAGCAGTACACACCATATACTGTGCCGTAAAGAAGGAGGGGAGGGGGTGTGTACATGGAGGATGGTAGGAAAGGAGTCATGATAACCATGACAACTAAATAATCCCTGACTGATTGGCAGGATTTCGGTTGGAGGCAGCAACATGAGTGAGCGTTAGACACGCTCTGCTTTTGGTTACAAGTCACCAAATCTGATTGTGGAGAAAATGTACGTTAAGAGGGCAGATAAGAGTAGATTGGGGTGTTAGAGTATATCCCTTGAATTCTAGGGAAAAGGATTTAAAACATCAAGAAACAAGAAACCTCGTGTTCTCATCACAATAGGCATGTGCCCTCACCCTCTGTTGATGCTTTTGGCAAACATTTATTAATGAAACGATAAACTTATAGCTTCACATATTATGACGTGCAATGCCCTTTCCCGGAACTATGATCATGCAATAATCTGGAAGTGTAATTATTTAGAGTGATACAAAAGGTTGTATCTCATCTACTAAAATTTGAAGATCTTGAGGACTCACAAGAGAAGATGGTCTTCTCTACTGTGACTTCATCTCTTACATCTCCTTTGCTTATGATGCTTTGCATGGTCTCAATGTTGTAATTAAACGTGTGTGTGTGTTCTTACCAAATGTCAAACACTGAGAAGTAGGATTACATTAAACCTACTTGTGAATGTAAAAGTCATTTGAAATATGTTAAATGATTTCATGGCTTGATGAATACCTGATTCCCATTGAATTCACTAGAGACAGTTTAAATGGATCAAGTTACATATTAATTTATAACTGAAATACTCTTATTTGGTTTTTTAAAAAGTACTCACAAGGCCAATTTCTTGACTCCATGTGACCATAGCTTTATCAACATGCCCAAGACAGAACAACACACACTACTGTGTTTATTACATTTTTATTATAGTAGAGTTGCATGTGCACTGTAGAAACTTTATATGTTACAGATAAGCAAACGAAAGAAAATCCCTTTAATCCTAACCCCCAAAATAGCCAGAGTTACTGTTTTATAGGAATTTACAATGCAATTGACACCCACCCACCCTGCGTTTTTCTTTCCATTTTAAATGCATATGGCTAAGTTGCCCTTTAGCAAGACTGAACTATTTTATACTTCCAGAGTTGTGGGGAATGTTCTTTGCCTCTGACAACATCACATACTATCACCAATATTCAATCCTTGAAAGATAGGTGAAGGAAAGAGAAATTTTTAATGAATATGTATTTCTTCTAATGCTAATTAAGTTAACTATTTCATCATGAGTTTATTGAATATTGTGTTTCTGGTAATTTGTCTGTCAGTATTTTCCCCCGGTAGCTATTTTTTTCTACCCGGGCGTGTCACTCTCTCTGTCTTAAATTGTTTTTGAGAACTTAACGCATGTTACTAAACTGTCTCCATGACTAGGCCAGGCACTTGTCTTTTATCATATTTCCTTTCAGTGTCACTGATCCTAGGGAGAGGGACTAAGAAACCGAGAGAAAGGTGCAGCTGTGATCCCCTTGTCCAGCCACTTGTAAACTGAGTACAAGTCATGAGCTATAATATCTTCGAGGAGAGGAAGCAAATAGAAAAGCGAGCCATGCAATATTAATTTCTGTGTGACAAGGATTTTTTTTTCCAGAAACAGTGGCGAATCAGACTTAAAATTAGTAGATTCCTGGCCTGTTTTAGATAATTTGTGGGAATTTAGAACTAATACGGATAAAAACAGCATAGTGGAATACTGCCCTAGAAAATAGTATATTCTGAAGCGCATTCCAGCAGCAAGTCAGATTTGGCAATTAGAGTTAACAGTAAGTTCTGTCCATCCACTATAGACGCATTGAAGTGTTTCCATGGGACATGTATGAAAGTCATGGATGGCTGTGCCCTGAAAAGTCAATAAAGAATGAACACTTTTATAGTTTGGCAACTAAGAAATTAGCTGGGGGCAATGCCGGAATTCTTTCTCCTTGGAAGAAATGGAAACTATGAAGGAGAAAAGGAAAAGAAATAGCAAAAGAGAAAAGAAGTGGTATATCTTGCAATACGGATGCAGAAAATAGAAGAAATCGAAGAGATTGAGAAAGGAGGCTGAAAAGAAACACTTTGTATACATTTACTATACACAGTTATCAAGATAGGCTGCAATATTCCTCTTATGTTTATGTAAACAGCGTACAAATATGAAGCCTTTAAAAGGCTCCAACAGGGACTTGTCTCTGGTCACAAATAGTGAACTGTGTCTTTTATGAGATATGCATGTTGAAAGTAGTTTGTGCCTTTAAATCTTAAGACAAATTTAAGGAGAGGGAGAGAAGGTAAGGGAGGGAGAGAAGAAGGGATGGGAAGAGAGGAGAGAGAGAGAGAGAGAGAGAGAGAGAGAGAGAGAGAGAGAGAGAGAGTACTCTTACAGGTGTGTCTAGGAACAGAGAAAGCAGCTGGTAACAATTTTAAACTCATTTAGTCGTTTTTGAAGGTGTCCAAATTTTTGTTGGTTCAGTGTTATATGTAACAAAAGGAGAATCGTGACAGAAACAAAACCATGTCTAGCTATTTCATGAACACGTTAAAGCATATGAAATTATTGAAACAATGGACTTCTTGCCATATAGCTTTAAAGTTTTCTTTTAGAAGAGTATTGGTAGGATACAAATTTAGTAGTCTGCGAAGCTTGGGCATAAAACGAGTATGAATATGAAGTATAATAGGCAAATGAGAAAACCAGTGAACCAAGGATGCTTGAACAAAGGGCGAGAGTCACCAGAAGTCCAGGAAAGACGTAAGTAAGGATCGTGTCTTTAAATGGTCACCCGAGCCACTGGACACTTGAGATAGCCTCCTTCTTTGGCCTCTTTCCGTAGTCAACCAAAGATTGGTGACAGAGATCACACGAGGAGGAGACACATCACATGGCTTGAAGACACAAACATGGTCCCTGACACTGTGAGAACATTCAAAGTGCAAGTGCATTCTTTAGGATGACAGATGGGTTTAAGGTCCACCAGAAGATGCCGGAATGGTTGCCCTCTAACAAGAGGAAAGTGAGCTCCTTTAAAATTCTTTCTGAGAATTGTTTGTCTTTGCCACTTTGATTTTTATGTATTCCTTGGTTTTTGACCCCCGGTGTGTGAAACTCATGTCTACGGCTCTGAGGTAACATTTTCCTGGTTTCCATGATTATGGATCAATAACAGATCTTTAACTCCAACTGTGGCAATACACAACTTAAAAAAGAAAGAAAGAAAGACCCTTAAAAATTCTCCATTCCTTGGCTCAATCTTCCAAATTCTAGAATTTAAAAAGGCACACACACTACATGTATATAAATATTTGTATCAACTATGAATGACTATAGATCTGAAAATGCACATATACTTACTATGCATTCGCTGCTGTACCCACCCACTCCCTCCACACATCGAAGGGAATCTCAAAGAATTAAAAGGCTAGTATTTCCAACATCACTCCACTGAATGGTGACATAGTTAACAGTCACAGCACACATACCTTTATGCAGACACAAACCTACAGGATGATGATTAGAACTCAGGCTGACTTGATTAACTTTAAATAAACTCCAGACATGGCAGTGAGAAATAAAATATACACGATGGCCTCTTTATTTTTAGCTCGACTGTTCAAAAAGCCAATTATCTACCTGTGAATGTATGCCACACATTGGACTTTGAGGACACTCCTTCATAGTCAGAGCTGAGTCTGCCTCCAACTGTCATTGCCTCTGTGATACTGCTATTAAAACAGAAACCTGAAAGACAAATTCCTGGCTTTGTGTGTTCAAGGAAAAATCTGGGCATGAGTTGGCTGAGGACTGTCTTGCGGAGTCCTCCATGCTCACCAAGTGGGAGGGTCACACTGGAGGGACGAATAAGGGCAGAGATGCGTCCCTCTTTCACTTGCTGGGAGCTGGCGCGGGCCACTCCGCGGCGGTGCGGCAGCCCTGTCCGGACTCCACCGCGCCTCCCAGGGGCTCCCACACCAACCCAAGGTAAGCTATTCAGCTCTACCAGAGGCCGCTTTGCTTGGTGTCGCCCACATTAGCTCGGTCTCTGTCATCTGCTGTGGTTCCGGTCATTTGCCTGCATCTGCTTTTTTTAAAAAAGAAAATGCTAAAACGGTGCTGCCCATGTGCACGTATTTCGGGGGTAAATCTGCCCACCTGCGGTTACGTATTCCCATGCTGGAGCCGACCTAGTGCGTTTGGCCGGATCAAGCCACTTGGATACGCTACCTATAATGTAGCTCGTGTTTATGTGTCCAGGTCACGCGGGCTCGCGCGTTCCACTTTAGTTCTCGGTGGGTTTTCTGGGTGGGTTTGGGAAGCAGAACTGTGAGCGATGCTGATGCGGGTGGAACGGACACCGAAAAAGGTTCCACAGGGGTAAAACGCACAGAGCAAGCTACGAATTCTGCGGGGCTGTGCTCTGGGGCTGGGATGCTGTGCCAGGGAGTGGCGAAAGCCAGGACGCGCAAGCTTAGACGCCGGAGTACCCCGTGGAGTTACCCACTTCGACCCCCGAGGGGGTCCCTGAGCCCATCTTGGGCTGATGGGGGCGAGGATCCGGGACAGGTTCCCGAGTGCCGGGCCCTGTGCCTTCTTCAGTCCGCAGAGTGCGCAGCGCGTCCGGCAGGAGCGCAGCCGCCGTCCCCGCCGTCCTCGCTGCCACCGCCGCCGCGGGGACGTCAGGGTCCCAGCGCACGGGGACGCCGCCCCGCCTCCCCCCCGCGGCCCTCTTCTCTGCGGGAATCGGGCCGGCGCCGCAGCCACCGCGGACGGGAGGAGGGAGGTGGCGCGCACGGTCCGGAGAAGTTTGTTGGCCTGGAACCAAACGCGCCACCGCGCAAGCCAGCTCCTTTGAAGCAGGCGGGCAATGAAGCTTAACCTTACCCCAGCTAGGTCGTGGAAGGGCTCTGGAGCCAGTCGAGTAGGGTGCGCAGGTTACCCACACGGACTCCACCACATGGGAGCCAGAGGGGAACGCATGGTGTGTCTCAGGGGACAGTAGATTCAGATTCGGCAGTAGAAAGAATAGGACCCAGATGCTGAAGATGTGTACTTTTAATAGAACCATCCAGGGACCGCGACAGTGGGTGATGTGAGACCTAGCTCGAGGATGGGAAATGGGAGGGTAACAGAAATAAATTGTGCTGTCTCCTCCCACCCCATCACCAATTCAGAGACTACTTACTTCCAATCTCTCCTTGGAAAGGAGGTCTGAGGAGCAAAACGATGAGAGGGTGGTACAGGCACTTGAGAGGAATTTACACCTGCCCACTCCCCACCCCCAAGAAAAGGGAGCTAATGAAAGCAGCACTCCTGCACAAATCAAGGCCTGCAGTTGTTCTCTAAGAGAAGAGAAAGAAGTCTGGCATGATAAGAGTGGCCTCATGCTCTCCGCAATAGGCCAGCAAGGCTTCCTAAATAGAGAGCTCTTCACCAGGCTCTGGCAAAGCAGGGGGAGGGGTGTCTGTGTTTTCATGGCGAAAACTGCCATTTCCCAGTCCTGAGACAAACGGACTGGATTTTCTGAGAGGGATAATTCTTCAGGGCACAAAAGAGGAAGCAGCAAACTCGTCCCGTCCCCCCCCCCCACACACACACACGAGAACGTGTTGGAAGTAACTGCTAGGTACTTTCATGAGGGTTGGACCAGAGTGATTTCTGCGAGTGTTTAGAAACTTAAGGAGGTGTCCTGAAAAAAAAGAAATTTGTGACGATAGAGCAGGGAGAGCGTCTCCATATGGACAGGTAAGAGAAATGCCAAACGGAAGGGAAGAAAGCCAGGTGCAATTATGTTTGTATCTGAATCACTGCTATCCTCAAACCCTTTCCAAACAGATGGGTGTCCATGGTATTCTTCAAAAATGGAAACTTTCCATCCATTTTTCTGGTCCTGTAGTTTGATCTCTGTTGCTGAAATCTCGGTTCATTTTAACCACCTCCCCCCCCCAGGCAGCAGAAAAGGGAAAATGTGTTTTAGAGACAGAAGATGTGGACAGGAACCATAGGAATGTGACAAATAGCATCATACGTGGAAATCCAAATGGAGAATGAAAAGCAGGCGGGAACGCGAAGAAGTGGCCTCTGCATACACTAATATATATAGGCTTGAGGGGACGCTGTGGCGGGAAATGTAAGGAATTGCTCCAGGCAGGTCTTGTTGAGAACTTGTATCCCAAAGAGGCAGAGAATAGACAGACTAGAAGAGGAGAGCAAGCAGGAAAGACAGAAGGAACGGCATGTATGAAGGCTTAAAGATGTCAAGGGGAAACAGTCATGTGCCTGGTAAGACAGAAAGCACACGCTGAGGTGCAGTCTAGGATGGGGAGAGCTGCTAAGAAGACTGGGGAGGGGAGGTTAAGAAGCAGGCAGTGGCACTGGATACTGTTCTGTGTAGACCAATAGTGAGACAACCAGGGTAGGACGCTGCACGCTGAATTGAACAGAAAAATGCTGACAGTAGACCAACAGGCCTGTAGTATGCATATGTAGACTGTGAACTGGAAATGCCCCTCCCACTTGTTAAGAAATCAAAGGCAATCGTGCAGCTTCAAGAATATCCTACCAGAAAGCCAACAGAGCCATTCAGATAAACAGAGAAATCGGAAAAAAAGGGGATAAGTTGGGGAAGTACACAACTCTATCCATATGAAATTCTGTCCGAGGCAGGGATGTGTCAATGGAAAATAGAACCAGAGCTTGTAATCAGAAAACAGTGTAGGTCAGCTGCCGTTGTTGAGATTCAAGGTATCTGAAAAGTTATTGCAGGCAGCTGTCTTTGAGAGAGAGAGGCATGCCAACGAAGCAGACACTTTGTCAAGAACGGGGAAACTGCTTAGGTATGTTCAAATAGAACCTTTCGAACTGCAAGTTAAAGGGGGAATCAGCGAATCCAGGAGGTGGGAGGGCTGGAAGGGTGCTTCTGCAGAAAATAAATGAAGGAAAGAAAGTTTATAAAAAGCACAATCAGGGCTGTAGTTGCAATTCAGAGGCAGTGTGCTTGCTGTGTACAAAGCCCTGATTTAGATCCCCAGCACACCCCCCCCCCGAAATATGGGCAAAAGCGTGGTATTTTGGGTACTGCTTATCGTTTGATGGAGGAGTTTGGAAAGCATGGATAGGCAGAGAACTGGAGAGATGAAACCCCACTATACCAGAGCCCACAAGTCCCTTGTTTCCCAGTACACAATGAAAGCCCATGGAAGAGGTAATGGAGAGCCCCACCATAATTGTGCTGGTTTTAGAGACAGAATTCTTAGCCAGGACTCGCCACATTTTGCTGTAATCCGGCACTCCACTGGTGTGGATGATCTTATGATCACTAGTTTAAAGCTATCCTGGAATATGAAGCAAAGCCTTGTCAGGAGAGAGAGGGAGAAGGGATCGCTTTTCAGCGGTTCGGAGATGGTATGTGTACCTCGAACACAAAGATGTGCAGTTTTAAAGGTAGAAACCTTGCTCAAGTTGTGGGAGTTTTCTGTAGACTCACTTCAATTTCATTAGTAAAATGATTGATGAAATTATAAAATAACCGCACATCTATACCAAAACAATTATATCTGATTATTAGCTTAGGATTTTTAATTCTGTATGATGGCTTTTCTTCTGGCTTTCTTTTCCCTCTATGAAAGATTCTCAAGATTGACAAAAGGACAGATGTGTGACACCTGTTGTTTTGCTTATTTACACAATGCCTCACTTCATAACAGCATAACGAGGCTTTCCTGTTGGAGTTGCTTATGGGCATGGTGGAGAATAGTCGGGAAAGTTTGATTTAAAAATCAATCATCTACCCTATTGTTTAGCATTCCCTCTGTAAAGAATGCTCTGAAATTGTGGCTTCTTGCAAATATCTGACAGGGCTAACATATTCTTTCCAACAACAAATCTTTAATGGAACAAATGAAATCTCTAACAAAAATGATTTTTTTTTCCAGGAACAAATTAGATTTGTGTTAAGGATTGTTAAGGACTTTTCGGGCTTGGAACTTTCTCTAATTCATTTTATAATCTTCTCAACCTACTTGTTTGAAAGTTGAGATGTGTTACTTAATGTGACAACCTACATAAAATAAACCAGTATCCTTCCTTACTATCTCCTTTCTCATGTTAATGTGAGTTGTTGCCATGATTTTTGTTTGCTCGTTTTGCTTTTTCTTTATTTTAGTGATGCTCTCCTGACCCATCCTTCATGTAATACACAATTTCAAAGATGCACTGTGAACATGTCAAATGTCCTAACAGTAAAAACTTTCAGATATGGTTTGATTGACTCAGGCTTCCAGTGACAGGCTTCTGAACAATTTCATCTAGTAAAACTACCATCATTCCATCCACTGATCAATCCATTTATTCATCATCCCTATTCACTGGTCTATCAGCGTATCCATCATTACATCCGCTGGTCCATTGTTCTGTTGTTTCAGATCTCCTGTTTTTTCTCTTGTTTTCTTCCTCAAAAACAATGTGTGTTTCTTTTACTTTCCTAGACCACACCAGGTGCTTATTTTTTGTTATTATGTATATGCAAACTATGTGAAGTTATGTATATTAACATGCAAACAGGCACCCATAGAGACCAGATGGCATTAGGTTCCCTGGAACTGGAGTTACAGCCAGCAGTGAGCTGCCCGATGTGGGTGCTAGGGACCAAACCTGGGTTCTCTCCAAGAGTAGCAAGGGCTCTTAACTACTGAGCCATCTTTTAGGCCTGACTTGCTGTTATACCCCCACCCAATTAGTGGTACACAATAGGGCTCTCATCTTATCAATGAAATGAAAGAGTAAAGTTTTCAATTGATCCTTCCTTTGCTGTTCATGTTTTCTGTGCATCAATATAGACTTTATGTTATAAAACATAGCAAGGAATTCTTCAAAACCTATCTTCCTTGAAAGTCTGTTAAATTTTATAATAGCTTTAAAGATTTTGAGAAGTGAACTAAGAATGTTTAGGAGATAACTTCCAAAGCTAATCGGATGGGGAGAGGGTGGGTAGAACAAGCAGCGACCAGGACCAGACATTTAGACATTCAGACATCACTATGCTGTTGCTATCATAGCAATGAGAAACAGGTTTCATGCAGGGCTATCTATCCACACACACAGGTAAGACTTTACTTTGTGTGGTACTGAATAGGAATAATCAAGGTTGCGACTGGGATCTTGATAAGTGAATTATTTATGAGGAAGTGATTGAGGTATGAGGATCTGGGAGCCATGGCTAGTAAATGACACATTGTAATAACAAAAGCTCTTGATCAAACAAACCTGGAATTGAACCCAAGGCTCCTGGATAGATCCTTCTGTGAACAGTCATGTCTGTGCAATGAGGACCTAATGCATATTTTTACTACAAAACTTAGGGCCTAAGTAAGAGGGTCTAAAATCTGCATGTGGGTTCTGGGAGCAAATTCAGTTCCCAAGGCTTGAACACAAGTGCCCTTACTGACTGAATCATCTTGTCAGCCCAAGACATTTCCTTGTGTAAACGGGAAAAAACAAGTGTGTTTTTAAAATCAATGTTACTACTCTCTTTAAAATCTTTTAGTCAAATATTTAGGTATATGCTACATAGCCTTTTTTACTTTGTACCATATAAATATTAGAGGCAGGCAGAGTTTATTTCTGAGCAATGGATATTAAAATAAATACTACACACACACTGTGTTTTATTTTAGAAAATGAGACCATCCAATATTGTCTATACCTTTATTAAAAATGTACTGTAAACAGCTTTGTACGGGTTTTCCAGAAAGCAATTCCAGGGTGTTAAGAAACAGCCTCTGCATACATTGTCTCTGGCTCTCTACATTAGTCACTTGAACAGGGAAGGCACTGGGCGTCTGTCTTAAAGCTTTACTTCTGCTACCAAGAGCCAAGCACTAAGTCGTGATAACATTGGCTTGAATTAATTTATAGAGCTGTCTTGTTATCCATCGTGCCTAGTCCTGAGGGGACAGATAGAAAACTGCCACATTCTGACAGAAGGGTTGGGTAGAGCCAGGAATGAAGAAGTCCATGGAGGGAAACAGTAGTAAAACTTAGGGCAGCAACCAGCAGCCTGAGCTCAGCCTGTGTCTGGGGACAGTGACAGAGAAGAAGGAAAGGACAGACTTCCAAAGATAGGGGCAAGTCCTTTCCATGGCAATTTTATTGGGGTCAACCCAGAAAATACCTCCAACATAACTTTAAAAAATATCTAGGAAATATGTGTGAGTGAAATAAGGAAGCGGAGGATGAAAATGAGGTATCCAACTGGCTAGAGAAGAGATAGGTAGGTGGATGAATTGATGGAATAGATATATGAATAATACATAGATACATGATAGGAAGCAGGAAGACAGATAGTAGAAAAAGTCAAGTAGGAAACAATGGATCTGTAAGGAGATTAGAAGGGATTCTAGGTAATGTGAAGTGAGGGAACCCAATGAGTGTTTACAGAAGGATGAAGGCTTGGCTATTGGAAATTCAGAAGGGATAGAGTTAGGATGTGGAGTGAATGGATTCTGGTGATCTCACTGAGAGATAGTGGTAGGAGGTTCAAGTGCTCAAACATGTGATCAACAAACCATACAATCTTATACTCAAAGCGCTTTGGATAAATAAGGTTAATGATATGTTCTGTCATCCTCTGAGTGCCTCAAGGAAGTTGTAGGGAGATGTCAAGACCAACTTCGTATGCTTGTGACATAGCTCTCTAGCTCTTTGTTGATGCAACAGGTACCAATGTTTTGAGGAAAATTAATTTTTAAAAGTAGAAATTCCAAATTTCTACTTTTCATTATCAAATCAACCTGAGGGGAAGACATAAGTGTAATTGCAAATTAGACTAATTGTCCTTTAGTGGATATAACAGCAGATGACTTCAGAGCCCATAGTTCAATGTCTGCGATCCTAACTTTCAGGTTAATGAATCAAGACTTAAAAAGGTTCCATAACTTGTGTACAAGTAGCAAAATTCACACAGGAAGCCAAGATATTAATTAATATGTTTCAGTGTTAATTGATCAACTGAGATAAATCACCCCACTTAAAAACACAAGGATAGATCTCCCTTACAATTGGAACAAAATTTGATATAGAATATATTTGAACCAGAATTCATTTATTTTAACAGTTACTAATGGCCATGAAATAATAACTGTGATCAATTTGCAAGGTTGTGTGAAGATCAAGACTACAGCCGTATCTAGAATTCAAAATAAATAAGACATAAGACCAGATGTTTGAGATTCAGAACTTCTCATTCAATTTTAACATTGCATTTGTTGCCTGTATGTATTTAGCCAGAAATATCCAAAATCTTGAATTAATTTTAAAATACTGAACTGAGTATTTGGCATGTGTTTAAAGCATATCAAAGATGGTGGGCTTATTGTTCTCTAAAGAGAGTTTATTGACAGGACTTAGACATTTGTGTGATGAATTCTTTCATGATTGGTTCTTTATTGAATGGAAAATAATGGCAAATAAGTGATTTATGACTCTTGAATAGCTATTTCTAATACAAATATAATTGTCAAATAAAATTGAGGGATACAGTACATTTTTCCTTTCAAATTATTTCTTTTTTTTTTCTTTTTTTTATGCATATAGAGTATTTTTTATTTAATTTTATATAACAAAGTCCAATTAAATGAAAACAAACATTTATACACAATATTTGGGAATTTGGGCGTCGTTCTTTCCAAACTACTTCCTGCTGGTAAGGGGTGCTGTCTTGGGGGATTCGAAGAAGATTCAGATTTCTATTTTAGCTAATTCACTACAGTAAAGTTAATTTAAATAATGTTAGTTTTTGTTATAAGGATGTAAAATATTTTATTTTATTTTTGCATTATGTTGTATGTGTATGGATGCTTTGTCTGCATAGCACACATGTGCCTGATGTCCATGGAGGAAAGAATAAGGCATCAGATCATCTGGGATTGGAGTTACAGGTCAATATGAGCCATCTTGTAGATGAAACCCAAGACCTCTGGAAGAGTAGCCAGTGTTTGTAAGCACTGAACAAACTCTTCAGGCCCTCCGTGTATTTTATCTGCTGAATCTTTCATTGTAATACCCATAGAGGAGGACTGTAAATTCTTAAAGGCAATCATGATGATAACAGAATACTTAAAAAAGGTACAATAGGCATTGTATGTATCCATTTTAAAGGGAGTGACATTTGCCTATGTGCAGTAATTTTAGGAGTGGAACTCAATATAATAAGAAAATACTTCATGTAAAGTATGCTGTGTTAATTAAGTCATAACATATAATATTTTCAGACAGAATCATGAATGATAAAATTGTGTTTAAAAATTCAGAATCATGGTATTTTTATAGACATACAAATAGCCATAATGTACGTGAAACATGTTTAGTATCACTAATACTCAGGAAAATACAGATCAAAACCACAATGAGTCACCCTCTACTATCCATTAGTATGGTATCAATCAAAAAGAAAGAAAACAGCAAGTGTAACAAAGGATATGGAAAAATCAGCACACCTTACTAGTGGAAACATGAATGCTGTGGGTGTTATGGAAAAACAGCCTGGTGGTCCCTCAGGAAGTGAAAAATAGGAGAACCATATGATTCATGTAGCATTTTCTTCTTTGAGTATATACCCTTTGAGTATATACATAGGGACAAGGATAGATGGCTCTACATCTGTCTCACAAGTGTTCACAACAGCCAAGTGATAGAAACAAATTAATGTCCATGGATGGATGGTGAACAAAATGAGCATTTACGAACACTGAAGTATCATCTAGCCCCGCCTCCCCCCAACAAGAGAAAATTCTGACATATGTCCAGAGATCAATGCCCAGAATTCATATAAACATATTGGACATATTGGGTGTGGTGCTGTGTGTATGTAAACCCAGTTCTGGGAAAGAGAGCTTGCTTACCCATCAGCCTACTCTAGCCAAAGAAAGTAAGGTGAATGAGGTACATTGTCTTAACAAACAAGGCAGGTGGCTTCTGAGCAGTGACACCTGGGACTGACCTCCACTTACACATGTGTGTGTGAACCCATGAACACATGACTGAAGGAGCCTTTGGGTGTACACACACACACACACACACACACACACACACACACACACACCACCATCACCAAAGATAGTATATTAAGTAAAGTCACCAGAAGACAAAAGGGGAATGATTCTGCATAATAAGGCTCCCACAAAATTTAAATTTGTAGCAGGGAAAGTAGAATGACAATTGGGGATTTGCAGACAATGAGATGGAAAGTTTTGCTTAACAGTCACAGGTACCCAGTTCTGACAAGAATTGTTGAGATAGAGGAGTGTGGGAGTTGCAAAACAATGGCAATAAACTTAATTACACCAACAATGCGCACTCAGGTATGGTCAAAATATATGAATTTTACGTTAAATATATTTTACCACAATTTTTAAAATAAAAAAATCATTTGAGTGGTATGACTTCAAAACTATTGCAAAAGTAGGAAAAAATTAAGGGATGAGACTCTGTGATCATGAGTAATTAATTAAATAATTAAGAAGGAATCTAGAAATATTTCTTGAGCACTCATAAAGATTAAAATATGTACTGAAGTACTCAGTTGCATGTTAGACATCATATACCCTAATATATAACTGTGTGATATATAGGAATCAATTGCTTTCTCTATGCTGCCACTGATTTTGTGGCTGCGATAGAGCAGTGTACAAAATCTCAACTTGAATGCTTTTGCCATTACAGATCGGTGGCCATTTGTTCCCATGGTTGCAAGGCACAATGAGGCACACTGGCTTTTGGAAACTGTGGACTTGGGTGGCAATGTTCTTGCTTCCTGCTTCGATTTGTGTGACGGTCAGGGAAAAGCCAGGTAAGTGGGTCACCTCTCTACCTGATTGATAAATGTTATCTATAGTCCTTAGATCATTAAAAAGAAATCCATCAAAGCAAATCTTGTTAAGGTTGGAGAGGCTACAGATTAGATTTACTGATACAGAAAAGAGAAATCATGGTTTTCTACCACTGACTTCCATGCAGTGCCCATGATGAACATTCATCTAGCTTTTTCCATAGTTGGAACTTGTAAATGTGATATTATGCATGTATGTCTCTGTGCGTATATGTGATATTATCTCACATTTTAGCCTCTAAGAATTATTTGTTCAAATCATAAGTCTAAAATCTCACCACTAATTAGGATTAACAAGGACTTGTCTACCCTTAATGAAGAAAAGCTGAAAAATAGCTTCTGAAATGTATAAAGAAATAGAATTTAATTATATTCAGCTTCGTGGTGTCTCAGATGAGAGAAACATCTTTACAGTATCCAATAAAAAGATAACATTTATTCTCAGTTCTTAAATTTATGAATCATCTCTTAAATATCCCCAAAGCAATTTGGAGCACTCATTATTATCACTGACTTTTAAAATTAATTGTGCCTGTATAGACAATTAACCTACAAGTACTTCATATTGCAACGTGAATATGTAAGGTCATTTGCTAAGGAAAGATCATAGGGAAAGTATTCTGATAATAATCACATACGGTGATGTACCCTGAGATATGAAGACTGAATCTTTCTGTGTATGTTCTCTTGAATATTTCTTGACAATTTTGATAAATAGGCACAACTTCTCTCTCACAGAGATTTTTGAGTTTATACACACACAGAATAAAAACTCACAAACTTTTAACGAATCTTTGGGCATCTTGATTGTCATTAATTTTAGAGGAAACCCATTTCCTAAAGCATTCCACATGAAAATTAAAATATTCTATTCATGTATTTATGATACCCTGTGCTTGTCACATAGTCTTGGGGCCTTTTCTTCAGTGAGAAATAGATAAGCAGTAATGCCTAACAAGTGCAGCCATGCTAAAGTAAAAGGTTACTTAGGGAGAGCATTCTCAAAATCTGCCCTCTTAAATGAGCTTTTTGTTACGAAGAGAAGGTGCCATGTTTTGCAATTTCACAAGGGTGGGCATGCTTCCTTTACCTAGAAAGAAGGATAAATATTTAGCTGAATGGTACAGGGTTTGGGTCATGCTAGTATGTAGGGCTTTGAATGGACATGGTTGAAAGGATCTACACACATGACTCTGGTTTTACATGGGAAAGAACCACATGGACAAGATTCTTGCCTGTCTAGCAGAGATTCCAGTTTTCTGTAGAAGCCATGGTAAATTCAGTTCTTTGTGTCTTTGACAAGTCAATAGGGAAATACTCACTTTTGGGGTAATTAAATGTCTTTTTATTTTCTTTCTGATCTACGTCTTAGCTGGTTATCTGCTGTCATTTTATTTTAATCTCAAGCTTTAATAGCTTATTTATTGTAAGAAGAACATTTACCATGGTCTCCACTTTGTTAAAGAATATAGTAAAATATGCTTTTCTATACAAGTACAGAAAGTGTTACTAACCACAACAGCATTGTCTCCTGAATATCCCAGAACTCAGTTATTTTACATAACCAAACATCCATATGTTGGAATTCCTCTGAATATTTTACTTTTCTACATTGAATATCACAGTTCTTTGATCAAGCTATATTGTGTATATAACTATCCAAATGTATTACAGCCCCAAATATCTTACTGAATTAGTTTCTTTGAAAGATTTCCTCTCTAAGAAGCCGAATTGTAATAAGATTCTCAAAGCATGCAGCACTAAAGGGAAGTAATAAAGAACACACTGAGTGTTCTCATGCCATTTGGTAAAGGGCGCCTGTAGAGGAAGACGTGTATTCGGAGCATGCCACGGAAATTGCTTCCCCTCAAATACCATTTACATTCATTAAAAATGTCAGCACAGTACCATCACAGGGACAGTTGGAGAATATGACACACTGGGCCTGGCCTGGCAGGAGACTCTCCTTGTATGTCTGATTCACGGTGCAAGGTTCCCTTTTTAGTTTCCTCATGTGCAGACCTGTGTGTGTGGTCACTAACCATTTACCGGAGGGAAGTGATTACATCTAAAAATAAAATCTCGCAAATCTGAGGCCGAGGCTAGGGTTTCAGTTCTGGACTTGGTGAGGTTGTCAACAGTTTACAGTGAAAACTAAATGTAATAAAGGATAACTCGAGTCTTCACTGCTGTCCTCCACTCTGTGGCAGACTCAGTGATGACCTGAAATATCATTGCACGAGGGACAGAATTCAAGAACAGCAGGGCAGAGGCAATAATAACATAAATTGGAACATCTTGAATTCAGGCATTTCCAATTCTTTGATCGATTTACATTACATTCACATTATGAGACAAGATGTATTTGTGTACTTTTATAGTGACAATAAATTTCAACATGACCCTCATTGCTTCAGCTCAGCTTTCAGGGTAGGGAAGAAAGTATTAGCATATGTATAATGCTCAACAACCTTCAAATTGGCTTTAATCGGTTGCCTACAACTGGGTCTTTTATGATAGAAACTTCCGCCTCAAAGGCTACTTTCTTCTCTTACTGTGTCCTTTTCCTTAAGCACTAAATTATTATAAGAAATCTTAAAATATAAAACAGGAAACCAGAGTGAAAAGCATAGGTGAAATAGATGGCAGAATGCCATCTACGAGAGTATTTTTTAAAACAATTTCCAAGCTTCATGTTAACTCTCTAGATGGTATTGGGGATTCTCCCAGGCCCAAGCTAAACACAGAAACCTCATTAATGCCAGTTCTCTACTCACTTAAAGGAAAATTATTATTCTGAAATACAAATTGTATTTGTTGACAGAAAAATCTACTATTAACTTCATATAGAAAATTGTCTTCTGCATTTTTAATAAATCTTAGTGTACCACCTAAAAATCTTCATAGTGGCAAGTGCAATACCTAAGTCCTAAATGTGGAAAGGGAAGAAAACATCACAGTGCCTGAAGAACATGCCTCTTAACCAGGTATTTTTTTTTGGAGAAAGAGCTTTGGACTAAAGTTAAGTAGTGAAGGTACTTGTGTGACCTCTTGTGACCTTTCCCTAAAATAGCTGTGTCCTTTTTTCCCCTCTCATTTGGCATAATATTTTTCATACTATTTTTGTTATGTAATAGTCCAGCATGCTAAGTCTACTTTGGTTAGCCATTGATTTACTCTCAACATAGAATGGTGGTTGTTCAGTTCTCTGATGCTTTGGTGGCGTATAAGGAAGTACACAGGGATCAGAGCCCAGCCAGTAAAGATGAGTAAAGAGGCCATTTGACTGCCTCTACCAAATGAGAATTCTGTTGTAGCCTTTAAAAAATATGAGAGATGGCTCACTCAGTAAATGGCTTGCCTTTGAATCTAAATGAGCTGAGTTCCATCCCCAGAGATCCCCAGAAGTCATTTTTTTTTAAGCCATACACCTTGTAATTTCAGTTCTGGGGAGGCAGAGGCAGTCACAGTCCTGAGGCTTGAAAGCTAGCTAGCCTAGACTACATAATGAGTTCCAGAGCAATGAGACAAGCTGTCCCCAAAAACAAAGTGAATGGCTCCTCAAAATGACATCCTCATGGTCCTCTGGCCTCTGTACACATGTGCACCCAGGGATATGTACATCCATATGCACATGTGCACCTGAACACATTTACATTAAAGTACACACACACACACACACACACACATATATATATATATACATACATACATATATTACATTTTCTTTGTCCAGTTATTTGTCAATAGACAGCTTGGCTATTATGAATAGTGTTGTAAAAGATACAGAAATAGACATCTTTTGGGTACAGAAATTTCATTACATTTGGGAATGTCTTGTAGTGGGGTGGTTGGATCATATTTATTTCCATTTCTTGTTTCCTGCACTATTTTCTATAAAAACTGTAATAACACATTCACATCAACAGTGAACAAGAGACCAGATTTCTCTTTATCATCTCCATTTCTTTCTTGTCTTTTTGATAAGTCAAATTGGAGTGAGATGTTCTTACTGAGTCGAACCTGCATTTCCCTGATGTTTGGTGGTGCTGAAATTTTTAATGTATTTTGTTTGCCTTTTGTACATTGTCTTTTGAGAAATTCAGATCATTGTGTGGCTTTAATCAGATTCAGTATCTTTTCTCCTGTCACAAATTTAGAGTCCCTGGCACGTTCTGGTTGTTAACCATTACTCTCTAGCAGTTGAATAGTTTGCAGATGTTTTCTTGTGTTCTGTGTGTTGTCTCTTTACTGTGTTCCATGGCTGTAGACAGCTTCCCAGTTTTATACAACCCCACACTCCTATTTCAGAAACTTCTATCCAGCATTTAAATTATTTAATGGCTCTCCAATCTTAACACTGCCAGGTCCCCCGAACTGCTACGGATTCTGTTTAATGAACTCTTCTTTCTATGGGGAGATCTCAGTGAGTCAGACTTAAGTTACCCAAAGAAAGTTTCCTTCTTCCCTCTCTTCTTTTCACTGCCATGGCTTGCTGATTTTTGTACCTCATTCCTTCAGCCTTTTCCTTATCCCCATTGTTATCATTGTAGTCCATGCTAGCATCATGCCTGGGCCCACAGAGTGTGGGAAAGTAGCCAGATAAAATCTCAAGAGCCAAGCTAAATTTGAAGTTTAGTAATGAACCAATGATGTTTTCAAGTATGCCTTGATGTTCTAGACATTGTAGCAGGCATACTTACATTAAAACATTATCATTATGTATCAGATATTTGATTGAGAATCTTCTGTTTATTTGCCATATTGGGAAATTCTATAAGAAGAAGTAATGGAAGATGCAGATGGGCAGGGAAGGCTGGGTTCATATAGGGGCATTTAAGTAGAGGCACAAAGGCCATGGGAATAAGATGTATGTGCACTTGGAAAGCACCAATACAAAGGTTCTGAGGCAGATGACTGCTGAGTATAAGGGGTAAAGGGCACAAAGGCCAGGAGACCAG